AATGGAATTTCTCAAAACTTTCGGACACACTAATGACAGAGGATCTACCGAAGAACTAGGGAGGGCACTGCCGAACACATGCGAGAAATTGCAGCGACCCTATAAACCACAACACCACTCACGCGGTGACCTCGTCCGATCACATCCCTTGATCTCCCTGGTACAAATGCACCTCCAAAAAGATCCTATTGGGGACATTTGCAGCATAGCCCTTTCTTCATACTGGTCATTGTTCTATACCCCACTATCCAGACTATCTGATCGTGCAAATGTACTTGGCTATGAATGTGTTGTAGCTCTTGACGACGCAAATTGGGAGTCGCTCAAATGCGTAACTTTGTTTCTTTCTGATCCTTGACAGACTTGATCCCAAGATAGATCATAATCTGTGCTCGCACGAGCACATTTATGGCAGAAAGTGTCTAGTTCCCGCTGTGTCTTGCCATCAACGAGGAGTAAAGCAAACAGCATCTAAAGGGGTGGCCAAAAAAAAGTCACTTTGACCAAGTCACATATCAGCAAAGTTTTTGCAGCCCAGACAGAGGACGTGGATACGAGTACCAGGGCGGAGGATACCCAAGATGTTCCTCTATAAATAGAAGACAAATGCTGCACGCCAACCACCTGCATGTACACCAAAAATGAATCATCCTCCAGTCGACAACCTACTGCGAGAGACCTTCGGAAACTCATGTCACCTCCAAACTGCTGCGAAACTTCTAGTATGGAGTCACCCATGGATAGCTACCTGGAGACCAGTACTCTCAATCTGGATGACCCCCAACATCGAGCAGCTTCGTCAACTTCGCTACGGTCTAGGACATCATCTTCACCGTAGTCGCCGAGGCGCGAGTTGATGGTATGGACCGAGGTTACTGAAAGGGAAGACCGATATTTCCTTCGTAGACCAGGACTGAAGGTGAGCGCTGGCGGTTACATCAAGTAACTCGAGAAGAATATCCTCCCTACATGTGGTCGCCCGTACCTTCTTGGAGACCTTGTGCTGCTACAGGTTTGGGTGCCACCACATGGAATCGAAGGGTTTTGGAAAAACTCCCGCCTACTTCGAATGGAAGGGCGTTCGATACCTAAAAAAGATATAATATGAAAGCAAGAAGTATGTCCCCTGCCTGAACCCAACTCAATTACTAATGCTGCGGCGCCGGGCGGAGTTCAATAGGGTGGTCTACGGTGGCGGAGAAATCGACTACCCCGCTGATCTCAGGTACCACATCGCGGTCGCGTGCCAGAATCTCTCGATGGCGTTCGTCCAGAAGGCTGTGGCGGAGTGTTGTGATAGTACTTAATATGCTCTTCAATATGGTAGTAAAAATGTCCGATCAGAATTTGATAAAGTGTAACTTACAGCGCCTCGAAAGTCAATGAGGCAAAGTGACTTTTTTTGCCCCCCCTGTATACTGATTAGATCACACCTTCCAAAATGTGCGTGGAAAGCTTTCACACACACACACACACACACACACACACACACACACACACACACACACACACACACACACACACACACACACACACACACACACACACACACACACACACTTAGACATCGAAAGCTCCACTCTTAGCTTGATCTGTTCTAACGTGATGGAGGAGCAAGCGAGTGAAGCGTTGAATAGTTCAAGTCTTTGCAGAAATTCCTTGTAGAAGTGGGGTCACTCACAGAGGAGTGATGCCACTTTTTTTATTTTCTAGCGCATGTTTACGTTCTTATCTTCCACCACAATACCAACTCATCACTCAAATTTAGGATACGTCGCAGATATGAAAATCTGTGGTGTTTACAGCATGATGATCATGACTGTGTATACTGAGTTTTGAGTTAGTTTGTTTACAATATGGTGGTGTGGAAAATACTTACTAATTTTTCGGAAAAGACCTCTGATCCGCGGGAGTGATAAAATTCACAAAATTTGGGGTGGTAGCCATTGAACAGTGCCGAAGGAACGTAAATAAGAGTGTATGGAATCTAGCACATAATTTCGAAAACCCGTATGAAATGCCCATCAGAGGATTTACTTGAAAGAGCGTTTGAGGTAACTTCAGCGCATATTTTAAACTGCCAAATGTGACACTAGAGGAACCTTTTTTCTTTTTTTCCGAATGACCAGCTTCGCGGAAAGTTTGAAGGGCGGTTTTTTTAAACTCCCGATAACCTGCTGCAGCGCAGTTCACACCACGTGACTAGAACATCGGTTTATGTGCTGGTATATCCATGCAACACCGCGGCCGCTTCATATCAATCCTTCTGCTTGCGAATTGTTTTGCAAATGAAGCGATATGAGCATTAGTATCGGTCGAACACTTTGTGGGCGGGCGGGCGCGGTGGGCGTCCGGGTCGGTATGTTGCAGCTTGATAGGGCGCTATAAAGGTACCTTTCTTAAAAAAAGCGCTACGCAGCGTCTGCCCAGGGGCGCCGATTTCTGTCCTGCTGTTCTTAAATGCCTTGGGGATTTACCATGCCCTTTCTTTCAATTCACTGCAAACGAAACGATAGATTAGTCAAGTTACGTTTGTCTAACTACGGCAAAGAATCCATGAGCTGGCTTAAATTGTGTATAGGTCACACTAGCGGTTCGGAATGGAAGACAAGCGCGTGACCCATCCTACAGAGAAGTTTATCGGCGCTTGTCAGCTTCAACCCTATTTATCGCAAAAGTAAAGAGTTCATTGAAAGTCTTCCTAGATTTCTGGATGAAAATGTGGCCGTATAGCTGGGGAACCCTGTCACCGCAACTGAGGCAAACGTTCAGAGCGAAATGTGTAACGGTGAATATTCACTAGTAGAAATACAGCGTAGTTGTTGTGTCTGTTTGGGAAGAGGAAGTTTGATTTTGAATTGCTGTCGGAAATGCTACGACAGTGGTTTTGCACCACACTGTATTTTTCTCACATAACACACCATACTTGCTGAGTGTGTTTATTGATTCCGCAGGTCCAGAACTATTATCTTCTCCAACTCTTAATAACTGCTGTAGGTTCAAGCAACGCATCTTACCCAAGTTGAGAGAAACTTCATAGCGGAATAAAAATAGGGGCACTACTAATCCAGCCTCACTCTGTACATGTTTCGATATAGACAGTTATTTTTGGAACTTCTCTTTCATATCAAATTCAACTTATACTTACCCACGCAACAAAAGAAATATGGCTTACCGCAGCTTATGCAATGCATGAATACTGGCTCCTCTGGTCGGGCTACCTGCACAAGTTGCTCCGATGAGCACAGAGCCTTATCGTTGTACGAAAGTGAACATTCCTTCGATTTCGGATCGAACTTAGCACCAGTGCAGCCATCCTTAATTTGTTATGTCACAATGATACGGTAGAGTATATAAAATCACAATCACCACAAAATCTTCGAGATGTTAAATCCTAATCTTTAAGCTAGTAAAAATTTGATCCCAATGTGCGCAACATAGTTCTCGCGTGATTTCGAAAAGAGATCCATGCAGAAGTAAGAGTCACAGCTTCATATGTATTCTGGTAGCAGATGAACATATGATGACGTGCTGGCCTCTTGATCAAGACGTTTTCGGTGGAAGAGAACGTAGAGAACGCAGAACGTGCTATAACGCGCATCGTTTCATTCACGCTCCGACGGTATATGCGGGAAGCACCGGGGAAGCACCAATGAAAGGTGCCGATTGCCGCTGACATCTAGTGTTTTTGCAAAGTAGATAAAAACGAGCATTTTGGGCACAAAACAAGCATTTTAACGTTATCTCTTTTTTTGCTTTTTATGAAAATCTCAGGTCGCAGATACACTCCTGTGAAGTGTACAGCCGAAGAGCTGCAAGACTCAGTGTTGGTTCAAATGATTCTAAAAATTCTATATCAGCCCAGAAGATTTATTTAGGTCTTCTGGAAGCTTACTGGAATCAAGTTATTCAGATAATGGGGAACTGGTAAAGGTCATGAAGTATCCCCATGCTCTCACTGAGCGTCCCTTTTAGTTTATAGGATAGGCCTGAAACTTAGTAACTCATCTAGTCCAAGAGAGTTTAACTCATATTTACGAGGTCGAAATGCCCAGCTTTCAGTGCCCTCAAACTTTGGAAAGAATAAAGTGGGCATAAGAACTAAAACTAGTTGTGTGGTGAATACTGATTATCACAAATCACCTCCTATTCTTTATATAGTTCATCGGAAAATCCCGCACAGGATGTCGACGGATGTTTGATGTGCAGAATTCTGTAGCAATCCGCTTGCGAGATTCTGTCACTCTTCCTGTTGTTACGTATCTAACCCGCTCAATTCTCCAAG